CCCCAAAACCCCAAAACCCCAAAACCCCAAATCAGAACCAATAGATTGAAATAATAACAAAATCTATTCTGAAAGCTCTCCATATCCATACTTTTCTTCCTTGTAATTCTTTTGTGAGATACCATAAATCTTATGATTTGTTATTCTAAAATCCTAGTCACAACTACACTTCCCACTATAAAATCCCAGTGTTTTCAACCTTTTGTGTAGCAGCTCATAGTGGTTGAGGGAGGCATACTTCTTGTAAAGAGGGTGTATGTGCTGGAACTTGGGTGGGGAGGAAGGGGATATTAGTTAGAGCTGGTGGAGTTTGGTGTGGAGTTTGTGAGGGATTGGGGTTTATGGGTGAGGTTGGGGGTTATATTTTGGTGAGGTGTTTGTGGTATGAGTTATGGGCTTACTGAAGGTGGTGAATATTTTGGTAGCTTGTGGGGTTAAGAGAAGTCTGTGAAGAGTTATTTGATGGTGGCAGCATCTGAAGTTTTTGCAAAATATTTCTTCCCTCTCTTCTTTGGTCCATTAGCTCCATTCCATTTATTTGATAGAAAACATATGATTTTACAGGAAAAATCACTTTGCGCCATGTGAGACCATGTTGTCTAAGATTTCTAAACATGAGGGATCAACATTACTGTTGAATAAAGTCTTGATATAGTCGATTCTATCATCACTAAAGATTATTTTGCTGGCCCACCTCCACTCTTGGATATGTTCAACTGCATGCTCGAGAGTGCTGTATTTAACCTGAGCTGGATCATCAAGAATCTTCTTTCCTAAGTTATTGTACACATAGTCTTCATACTGATGCAAAGAATGTTCAAACTTGTTTGCTGAAGATAAACCTCCAGTCGAGGAAAGATTTGCAAGTTGCTCTTTGAGTTGGTGGTTCTCCTTCTCTAAACTCCTGACTCTTTCTCTGAGAATTTTACATTCTTGCTCCATTTCTTCGATAAACTTCTTCTTCCTGATTCTGTGCTGTTTTGATCTCTCCATATTTGTCTTAGGAGGCTTCCTCTTGTGTTTAATGTTTTTGGTATCTTCCATTTTAAGTCTATTCTTTTCTTATAATTTCATTATAGCAAATATTCTAAGGGGTTTTGGGGTTTTGGGGTTTTGGGGTTTTGGGG